TTTAGATAAATAATAGCTAATAATAATGGTAGTAATAATTTCAAACCTAAATTTGTTAGATTTTTAGCTTATTTTCTTACACAATTAATCCTTAATAATTTCCATTTTAATTCAAATTTCAAATGAAAATTAAAAATTATTTTAAAATAAAGAAATGATGGGAAATTATAAAATAGCATTCCATTACCATTAATGAATGAAAGCTGAGGATGAAGAAGGATGGAATTAAACAATAGATGGAACGATGAAGTGGGTCGGATAAAGAGTGGGCGGAGTGGGTGGGAGTGATGCGTGGGTGGAGTGATAATGCGTGGGTGGAATGAGTAGTGTAGCGAAATAGGAATGAGAGTAGAGCGTAGGTGGAGTGAATGGAAAAGTGTGGCAGGCGTGGGTGGTGTGGGTGGAGTAGTGGGATGAGATGAGAGTTGAGTGGGCGGTGGAGTGAAAGAGAGAGAATGTAATTGTTGTGTAGTTCAATAGTAGTGCAATGTTGACATCATACTGGATGGGGGAGTGGGTGGGGAGCTGTCATTTGTCAACATAATAACATAGTTTGTGTTGTTATTTGCTTGCTTTATAATTAATGACTGAGTCATCAAGTCGATGTAATTAACATATATCAATCGACGCTTTTAAAAATAAACAGATGGTTCTAGCAAATGTGACAGAATCGCAGCTGTAATTATGTCAACATTTTAAAAGTCCAAATTATCATATTTAAAATATTGATTAATTTGATTGTGACAATTTCATAAGCAAAAATTAATCATATTGTATACTAATGGGATAAATTTTTGCTTAATTAATTTTATTTATCTTTTATTATCATTATTATTACTATTGTTATCAATATTATTATTGTTATTATTATTATTACTATTGTTATTAATATTATTATTATTATTGTTGCTATTGTTATTAATATCATTATTATTATTATTAATCACTGTTATTGTCATTATCATTATTACTATAGAAACAATAAGTTATTTCAAATGATATTATCAGATAATTTTTAAAAGTTTTTATTTTATTGATGAAAGAAAAAAAAACAAAATAAAATAAACAAAAATTAATTTTTGAAATTTATTAGAATATTAGCATTTGTTATCATTTAATTCAAATCTAATATATTATTCATTTTATAAATGAAATATGTTTACAATGCACTCTACTTAACTACTACTCTCGTACATTTCATTCACTGTTTTATTTTTTATTAGAATATATTGGATGTGAGTACTTAGTAAGATTAAAAAAGAAAAAAGGAATGTCACTGAGAAAATAAAATTTACAATTTTATTTAATTTTAATTCTTTCTTTCTTTTTTATTGTGTGTGTAATAAATTTGATTTAATATTTAAAAGAAAAATGAAAGCATAAATAAGAAAAAAAAGAAAAAATGAAAAGGATGAATCAATTGTTTAACGCATTACAAACAATTTGCAAACTAAGAAGAAGCAATTACTATCATTTCAAAAGGAAGAAACAAAAAAATAAAAAATAAAGGAAAGAGTGAAATGCTCTCGAAATAAATTATATTTATCAATGACATTTTTATTTTCACTTCAATTTCCTTTCAACTTTTTTTATTTTTTTTTCCTTCTCATCTTTATTCCTTTAGATACATTCTCTTTCTCTGAAAAAGAAAGCAAAATTATTCGAAATTTCTCTCAAATTTTCTGGTAGGAACAAAAAAAAAAAAAAAATTAGAAAAAATAAAAATATCAAAAATTAAATATATAGTTATAAATAATAGATTAGTTTTTTTTTTTTTTTTGAAAATATATAATTACAGCTAATTTTTTTTCAAAAAAAAAAAAAAAGTAAAAAAGAAATAAAAACAAAAAATAGTAAAAAATTAAAAAACGAAGAAAGTAAAATGAAAAAAAAAAAACACGAAAGAGGAGAAAGCTTAAATTACAAAGCTTAAAATAATGAAATTTTAAACTGTTTGTTTGTTTTGTTTTTTTTCTTTTGCTCTCTCTCTTTTTTTTGTTTTAGTTATTCGATAATGAAAAAATAAATGGAACAATTTGATAAAAAATTAGTATATTAAGTAAATTATAATTAAATTATTTTAATATGATAGTTTTAATTATGTCGAGAAAATTATTTAAAAATAAATTATAATTTTTTAATGCTATCTATACACTTCTATAGCATTTTTGAAAAGTAAAATAGGAAAAAAAAAACAAAGGAGAAACAATTTAATATAATGATAGCCTTGAATTCAGCATAAGAAAATTCTATTGGAATTTATTATTACTTTTAAACTTAATCATATAATTTTTTTCCAGTCCTCTTTTTTGGAACAATATGTTAACTAATTAATTAATTAGAAGCATTACATTCAATTCATTTAAACTTTTCAAAGTTTACTTTATTCCTAATTTAATTCCTCAATTTGCTCTCTGCTTTTTTCTTTTTGCCTTTTCGGTTTTTATTATAATATTCGAAAAAAAAAAAAAAAAAGAATCTATCAAATATAATCAAATAATATAAACCAAAGATGACATAAAAAAAGTTTATAAATAATCCTTTTCTCATCTTTCGGATGATTTCATTACACGTCAAATTATAATAGTTATTTTAATTAGTATACGTTACACTAAATTATTAAATACGTGTAATGACGTCAATGATAGCATTTTAGGATGTGTGACAACAAAAAAAAAAAACAAAAAAAAAGAAAAATTAAAAAGGAAAAAAAAACAGGTTCATTTAAAAAATAAAAGACAAAAAAGAGAGTAAATGCTAAACTTTTTTCCTCTCGCCTACTCATTAGTTAATTACTGCAATATCATTTTCAACAGAAAATAAAGAAAAGAAAAGAAGAGCTAAAATTGATTTTAGAAATTCTTTGAAATAATCACTTATCAATAGAAATATAATTTGTGATATTAAATATTAATCTATCTAATAAATACTCTCTAAAAAGTATCACTAACATTATCAATAATTGTTACTAATACTTCTACATTTATTATTATTAATTATTATTTTTTATGCTACTTCACTTTAATCGTAATAGTTTAACTTAGATTTTTTATCATCAAAAAAAAAAAAAAAAACAGTGCTAAAAATTATTTCTATTTTTTATTTCCAAAATTTTATTTGTTATTGACTTGAGAAAGTGCATCAATAATACATATATATATAACTCATCTGTTCTAGCAAATAGATGAATATTTTTCAAAATTTTGTTATGTTATGATTTTGCATTTAGCAATTCTAATCAAACAAACAATTGAATGATGTTTATTTGGAATATTTATTTTGAATGAAATAAATTAATTAATTGATATAATTTTAGCTTATTTTAACTGAATTAACAGCGAAATATTTTAAGAATAACTTTTTGAATGAAATAAAAAAAAAAAAGAAAATTAGCAAATAATATAATTATCAGAAATAGACAAACAAGCAAAAATTTTTAGGACTAAAATTAGTAATTTTTAAAAGAATTTATCAAACCAAAATTCTTTCTCTCATCATATTAGAAAGATAAGAAAATGTATTCAACGAATATTATTTTATTTTTTTTTTTTTTTTTAAAGATATTATTATAACCGAACAAAATGACGTTACTTTTATATGCCTTAAGCAAGAAAAAAAAAGAAAAAAATGACATTACTTTTGAGCATTGGAAAAAAAAGAAATATTAAACAAATAATTTTACATTTAAAATTCCTAAAAAGCAAAGCAAAATGTAATAATAGGTCAAAATGATTAATTTGTAATCTAATAAAAAAATTAATAATTTTGAATTGTGTTAAAAAAAAAAAAAAAGAATGAAAGGAAATGTATGTTAGAATTAAATTTACATTACAAATTAAATAAGCACTAATTAAAAATTTTAATTGAGAAAAGGAAAAAAAAAAAAAGGAATTGTCCACTTGATATTACCTAGAAAAATATATGATAAAGGTAGATAATTAATAGTAATAATAGTAAAATAAAAACCACTCTTTTTGTTTGTTTTTTTTTTTTCCTCTCTCATTTTAATGAATTTAAATTTAAATTAACTAATTAACTAATTAGGGAGGGAAAAAAAAGAAAGAAAGATAATAATGGAGAAAATATGAAATGAATTGGTATAAAATTCAAATAACATTGAAAAAAACGAAGAAAAGAGTTGAAGAAATTCCAGTAAATGCATCTAATCATCGTGTCGTTCTGTCCAATTTCATCCGTTATGTCCCTTCTCTCTCTCTCTCTCTCTCTCTCTCTCTCTCTTCCTTCATTTTCCACTTCAAATTTTTTTTTTAAGATTGAATTGTCTCCTCTTTTGTCCCCTATCCTTGACAAACCCACCAGTTGTTCCATCTTTATATACATTTGTCTATTACTACTGCTATTATCAATTGATATTGTAATGTTGATAGAGTTGATAATCGAAATTTAAAAAAAAAAAAGAAAAAATAAAAAAGAGAAGGAAAAAAGTATTAAAAATCGAAAAAATTACGATATTAATCAGCTGGCAATAATAAAAAAGAAAAAAAGTATTTCTTAATACTAATTATAAATATTTCTATTTATGTAATTGTATTTTACATACAATTTAAATTCAAATTGTATTATCATATTTAAATAATAGCATAAATAATTACTCCACAAATTATAATTTATAAAATTTTTCAAAAATTTAAAAAGATTTTTTTTTTTTGTTTTGTTTTATTTAAATAAAATATATACAAAATTGTGACCGCAAACAGTATGCTCATGCGTATATGTGCGTGTGCGTTTACGCGTGTGTGTGTGTATGTGTATGTAATATATGTGTATGTACGTGGGCGTATGTATGTGTATATTTATATATGTCGCAGAGTACGAGACACGCTTATTTGCAAATTCATTCGTAAATAATTTCTCGACACTCCACATCTTTCTTCACCATTCCATCCATTCATTGAAGAGTATTATTGATCATGTCATGTCGTTGACGCAGTTGACAAACCCAAAATTATATAAATTCGATGAATCAGTTAGTGTTGACGATGATTACGATGATGATGGATGATATAATGATGATGATGGCGATGATAATCGGTGATGATGCGGAGATTATGATAGATGATGATAGGTGATGATGTATAGTAATAATAATAATGATGATGGTGACAATGATGATAGTGATGATGGCGGCGATATATTATGATGGATGATAGGTGATGATGTATAGTAATTAATAATAATGTTTATGACGATGATGATCAAGATGGCGGCGATGTTAATGACTATGACGACAGGTGGTGATCTACAGTAATAATGATGATGATAATAATGATAATAAATGATGGTGATAATGGTGCTGATGATGCCTGATGATAAATGATGATGATGATGATAATTATGCCTGTGTTTTTCTTTTGATTCAAAAGTTAAATAATAAAATAGCAGTTAATAAATTTCACATTTTGTTGTCCTAATTGTATGAAATATTTCTTTTAAGTATTATAAATTTGAAAGCAATAATAATTCTTCTCATCAAAGATTACTATTTTGTATGCTTGTAATCAATGAATATTATATTAATTTTCATAAAGTTCAGTTGAAAAAAAATTTTGATTTATTTTATTACAAGATTATTACTACAGATAATTTACTTGTCAGCAAAGTATCTCAATATCAATATCAATTAAAGTCATCTCGAGAATCATTACATGCAGCGTATCAACAATCACTAGCAAACAATCATCACAATAAATTGAAGATATGCTTTTCCTGTCAATGTCACATCATTTCCGGAATTATTATCATAGAAGTTCTCAAATGCAAACTCATCTCGAGAGTTTATTGAAAAAAAAAATCCGTTAATTTATCAAACGTCATATGTTTCAATATGTTTTATCATTTATAAATAAGTGATCACTTCTTAAAAAACATTGATCTCATTTTTTTTTTTTTATTTTTTTACTTCGCTTTTTCTTTTTCACTTTTTCGTTTTTTCTTGTTTTATTTTTTCTTGTTTTATTTCATTAAACTATTTCAATTGACAATTTACTTTAAAAAAAGATGCTAAACAGTTTAAATATATTTTAAATATACTAAATATTTTACTTAAAAAATATACCAAATATTTGATTATTAATCACTTGATTATAATTTAATGTTTGATTAAAAACACAAAAAAGTCCAAAAAAAAAAAAAGGAAAAAAGAAATCAAATTACTGATCGTATTTGTATAAAATAAACAAATGAGAAGGTCAGAAATTTCTCGACGAAATATTTTCTAAACAATTCAATCAGCAAATATTGCATTTCTATTAATCAATTTACGATCAATAAAAAAATTTTTCTAATTTCTTTTACTGAATAGATTTGCTGTAAGCATAAAGCGTAAATATGCATTAAGCATATTACAATGGTTATCAGCAATTTCTAATCTTATTTGCATTGATAATTTTGAAAATAACAATAAATGTTAGCAATGATAGGACAGAATCCGAATAATATTAATGCAAAGGAATCTGAATCTGAGTAATATTAGTAGGGAAGAATCGGAATCTGAGTAGTATTAGTGGGAAGAATCGGAATCTGAGTAGTATTAGTGGGAAGAATCGGAATCTGAGTAGTATTAGTGGGAAGAATCGGAATCTGAGTAGTATTAGTGGGAAGAATCGGAATCTGAGTAATATTAGTGGGAAAAATCGGAATCGGAATAGTATTAGTGGGAAAAATCGGAATCGGAGTAATAACGTGAAAAAGAATCTGAAGAATGTTAATATAAAGGAATCTGAATCGCAGTAGTATTAATGAGAAGGAATCTGAATCGGAGTAATAATAATGGAAAGGAATCTGAATCAGAACAATATTAATAGGAAGAATCGGAATCGAAGAATATTAATGGAGAGAATCGGAATCTGAGTAATAACGTGAAAAACATAAAGGAATCTGAATCGAAGTAGCAACAGTGAAAAAGAATCCGAATCGGTGTAACATCCGTAAAAAAAATAAAAAAAGGAATCTGATTCACAGAGTAGTACATCAGTGAAGACGAAACAAAATATTATTAATGGAAAATGAATCAGAATAATAGTGATAAGAATGTATCAGAATAGCATTGATGAAATGAAATCATGATAAAATCATTGTAAAATATCATTGTTAATAATTAATTACTAAATAATAATAATAGTAATTAGATATTGAATAAATTGAATACTTTGTTGATTGAATCAAAATTGATTAATAACAAATATGTAAAGAAATAAGTAATTATAGAGTATAACAGCAACAACCATTTTTTTAAAAAAAAAAAAAAAAAAAAAAAACTAAAATTAACATTTTTAAATTAAAAAAAGAAAGAAAATAATATATGTAAATAAACAAACCTCGTTTTGTATGAAATAAATCATTGCAAAATTCATATGACGATGAGCATAAATTTTTGAGTCGTTGCATTTATTAAATTGCAAAATTACAAATTTTCACAAATTTTAATAAAAAAATTTGTTTCAATATTAATCCTATTTTATTCTTTATTTTTAGACAGAAATATACAGTAATAATCGATTAAAATTGATAATTTATCATAAAATTATCAATGATTATTATTGCAGTAGTAAATAGTAGCAAAAGTAATAATAACGATAACAATGATAATAATTGCAGTAGAATAGTGATAATAATAATAATAATAATAATGGCAATTGTTATTAGCTATTTTTATTGCATTTAGAGTAATAATAATAATAATAATAGTTCAATTATAGTACTATCAATAAGAATAACAGCGTAACTAATTTTATCAATAAAAATAATAATAAAAATTAAAATAATATTGATAAATTAATAAAATTGCAATCATTTGTAATGTCCATATTTTTCTAGAAAAAAAAAAGAAAAAACAAGAAGAAAGAATTTTAAGTAATTACATTCATTAATGATATTTCACTTTTTAATATTAATATTGTAATTGTTAAAATCATTTTGCTTAATTTAAATTAAAATTATTACTTTTACAATCCTTTTTTTTTTTTTTTTTTTCTTTCAAATATCTTTGCCAAGTATTAAATTTTAAATTTAATCCAAAATCAAAATAGTAAATTATTTTTAATTAGTTAAATAAATTATAGCAAACTTTTTTTTTTTTCTTTTTGCAAGCTGCAAGCAAAGTTAAACATAAAAATTTAATGAAAAAAAGCTAACAATAAATAATTCTTTCTGACTTCTGATTTTTCTATTTATGGTTGCTATGGTTATAAAATGATCGAAAATAGGAAAAAAAAAAGAGTCCTTATTATTGCTTTTAATGCATTTTATTTGAATCATAAAAAATTGAACAAAATAATATTTGAATAAATTTTACATTAATATATCACAATAATAAAATTCTAACTTAATATTAATCACTTTTATAAATTAAAAATAAATTAAACTTAATTTGCATATTTATATCATATCTTATCTTTATTCAACTCTAATTTAATCGTTTTTTTTTTCTTCTTTTTTTTTTAAAAAAAAAAAATAATTTTCAAAAAAAGATATTAAAATTTGTTGGATTTATGAAAAAAAAAAAAATTCAAATTGGAAAAAGATAAAAATTATTGAAAATACTAACAATAATTAAAAATAAAATTTAAAATTAAAAATCATTGGAAAAAAAAAGAACATAAAAGCAATAAATAAAAAAAAAAAAATGAAAGAACAAAATTATAAGCAAAAAAACTATTATTAAAAAACAAAAAGATAGAAATAAATTATAGAAAGAGATAATTTTAATTAGATGCATTATTAAATTTAAAATGAAATTTGAATAAAATCTAAAACTAATCCATAAAACGATGAAATAAAAAAGAAAAAATAATAATAATAAATAAAGATATGTAAGGAAAAAAAAAAAGGAATAAAATGATAGTATTTGTTGGACTGAGCAGGAATAAATAATTCTTATAGCTAACTTTCGAATTAATTAGCTCATATGAAATTTAATTTTTGTGCTATCTAGTTGACAAAACTTTTTTTAGTAAGCTAATTAATATTGTTAGTTTTATTGTTTTCTTTTTTTAAAAATTGATCTCAGATAAATGGCAAAAATGGGTTCAAATTCTGCTATCTGCCATCTGCTATTTAATTAAAATTAAATTTAACCTTAATTAATTTAAGCTTAAAAAGTTATTATTATTATTATTAAAAATCATACATATTTTTTAAAATTTACCATAGATTAATAATGATATGATTGAGAAAATACCTCAATCAGTGATTAATATATAATATGAAGTAATAAATTAAACAAATTATTTTAAAATCAAAATTTAAAAACAAAAAAAAAAAAAAGAGAAGCAGCCTTAATGATAGATAAAAGGGCCTTAATAATCTTTAAATATACTAATTTCATTCACAAATTGACATTTCAATTGCAATTAATTATTTAAATCTAATTGTACCGCAATAGCATTCCTTAGCATTCAAATTTTAAATTTAAACGATCCATTTGAGTAGTATCAAAATATTATTTCTCAATTAGAAAAAATATATTCGATATTCTCTTTAAAATATTTAACAAAAATGCAAAAAAAAAAAAAAAAAAAAAAAAATGAAATGAATAAAATTAGAATTTAAAATATAATTGAAAAGCATAAATGAAATTTTTTTTGCGGTAAAATTAAGTTAAAAATAAAAAAAAAAAAAAATTGAATTGAAAAATGGCAAATGAAAATAATAGTTAAAAAAGGAAAAAAAAAGTTCAATTTAAATATTTTATTCAAATTAATTACAATACTGAAAGAAAATGATAGAAATATTAATTGCTAATCCTTTTTTTTTTTTGGAAAAAAAAAAGAAATAAGTAATAATTATTATACTATTATTTTCGATAATTTAATTAATTTTAATAAATTAATTTGAAAAATTCCAATCGATTTAATGAAAAAACTTAATATTAACTTCTCATTTCTTTTAAAAATGAGTTAATTCAATTAATTTCCTTTTTGTTTTTTTTTTCTTCACACTTTTATCTTCTATTACATGTACTTAAATACTTAAAATGATACTGATATTAAGCTTTTTATTTTTATTTTTTTTAAATTAAGATTGTAACATATTTTTGTGACAGTCAAATTAAAAAAATAATAATTTATAATTGAAAAAGCAAAGTAAAAAATTTATGCTAATTAATAAATCAAAAGTAAATTAAGAAGTTAAAAGGAAATTTTTTTTTTTTTAAACCTCAACTTGAAAATTTTAAAATTAAATTTCAGTTACAAATCTTAAAAGTGCACCGAATTTGTTAATGCAAGATAAGTAAACATTTTTGATAATTGAAGAATTAGCATTTCTATTTGAGTATTTAATTCTTCCATTCTTTTTTTTCATTAACAAAAAAATTTTAAGTTTTTTTTTAAATTACCAGAAATATTAATTTCATTATCGATAGTAATAGTACAAAATTTACTTGCATATACCTAAATGATTTCAAAAAAAAAAAAAAAAAAACAGTTACACTATCATTTAATCACCTATCATTAAACTAAATTAATCAATAATTTTATTATTTACTTATACATTTATTTTTCTTTCGTAAAAATTAAAAAATAATAATTACAAAAATCATTTTCAAATTTTTAGCTAAATTTTTAGCTAATATTTTATATTAAATTAGCTAAGAGATTTTTCAATTTTTATTTCATATCAAATTAGCTAATAGCCTTTTGATTTATATTTCATATTAAATTATCTAATAGTTTTTTATTTTTTTTTTTTTAAAAAAAAAAATTTTAAAAAAAAAAAAAAAAAAAAAAAAAAACATTTTCTATTTATTATTAAGCCTGCTGCTAACATATATGTACGTACAAGAAATTCAATTTTTGTAATAAAATATTCAAATAAAAGTATTACTAAATCGATCAATGATTCAAATATTTCTTTTTTTATATTTATAAATTATTTAAATAAACATTGTCAATGTATAATAGCAATTTATGGTTGACACTAAGTAAACAGAATAAATTGATTTTTCTTTCTTTCTTTCTTTTCCTTTTCTTTAAGAATTAAACTCACTTTGTTAGTGCAATAACTTTTTAAAATATTAATCAAAAAAGAATTTAAAAAAAAAAATTATTAATTAATTCTTTTTTTTTTTTTTGTTGTTGTTTTGTTAATTATTTTAAATATTATCTTATTTCATCACATTTATGTTATAAAATATTCAACAAAAATTTTAATTTTGTTTTATTTTTTGCTTTTGTTTATTTATTTTGATTTGATGAAAAATTTTTTAAATTAATTGATGATTTAACATTACTGTTAAAAATTGTTTTCCTTTTTTAGTTTTATTTTTATTCAATTTTTTTTTTTTTGTGAGAATAATTTCAAATATTAAAATTTCTTTTTCTTTGCTACTAAATATAGTTTTATTTGCTTATAATAAAAAATAATTGTGCATTTTTTAACTTTGAATCCTATCTATTTACTTAAAATAAGAATTAAAAAAAAAGGCAAATAAATAAATAGCAAAATAAACAAAAAAAAAGAACAAAAACAAACAAATAAATAAGTAAATGAATAAAGTAAATGAATAAACAAATAAATAAATGTAAATGTTTGAAAATTAAAAAAAAGCAAAAGAAAAAATTTGCTATTTAAAAAAAAAATAAATTTGCGCAAAAATTTTATTAACAATTTGATATTTTTAACAAAGAGAGAAAAACTATTAAGAGAAAAATTAATGAATGATAATTAATTCAAAATCGTAATTGAATAATTTTAAATATTACAGATGTAAAAATACAGAAATTACTTTTTTT